CGTTTAGATAGTCATGTCTTATCTGAAAGTATGTCTGTTGGTTTTTGTTAATCGTTTGGGTTGCTTTCTCGTTGACTTTAAAAACCTCAAATCTCTCTTTATTCATAAATATACTCTATTACAGATATATCAATGTTAAAGACGCTGTTTTCTGCTTCCGGAATGCTGACCTGTATTCAACTCATTTAAACGAAACTATAAAAATATTTTAAAAAATACACCTCATGCCAAAGAATATAAATGTTTAAGGTTTATGGTCCACTAAACTCTATCAGTGATCTCTTGATAGTAAGTTTGATTGCTTGCCAATGAAACCACCACTTATTATAAAATCTCCCCACTTTAAAAACATAAGAAGATGTTGTATGATTACCAATGAGAAAACTTTCCACAAGAGATATCAATGATGTGGGTGTGGATGTAAACAACTATAGCTCATCGTCAAAATATAAAACAAGTCAAACGAGAAACTCAAAGGCCTGATTCATGTTAAAACAATAAACGGAAAAACAAATATGACAGACAGCAAACAATAACAACCAAGTAATAAAGGGCCACTGACTTGTGATGATCATATTCATAGTGTGCAGGGTTAACCCTGTTTGCGAGCACTCAACCCTCCAATAATCAGGAACAGTTTTTATTTAGGGGCCGGCTGAGGACCACCTCCTGGTGCGGGATTTTCTCGTTGCGTTGAAGACCCATTTGTGGCCTTCAGCTGTTATCTGCTCTTGATCTGGTCGGGTTGTTGTCTCTTTGACATACAGTATTCCCCATTTCCATTCTCAATTTTATTTAAATAGCAAACAACGTAAGAACAAATTGAAAAAAACAGTTGGAAAGGGTTCAACTCAAAAAGATCAGCACGGAGTATATGACCAATTAACAAAAAGACACTGAGTTCTCATAGCTAGTTCAAAGCTTAGTAATTACAGTTGATGAATAAATACTGTTGGCACCGACTAAAATATAAATAAGTAATGTAACACATCCGATTAGTAACCAAAGTGAAACGTGGATTCAGTGTTACAGTCAAAGCTTTATTTATATGGTGTGTGAGTACTGAGATCGTCGCAAATTACATGAGTAGCTATTTGCTTCGAGGAGCCTGAAATTTTCATTTGTGAAAAAATATTTAACATAAAATCATTTAACACTCATCATTCTTATTTTTTTATGAAACATTGTTGAATTCTAAATCTTAACATGTTTATTCCAGAAGGTAAATGAAAAAAAATATATTGTTTTCTTTCTAAAGTTGTGGGGAAAAAAATACATTAAAGACTTTGAATCTTGCAATAACATTTTTTTTATAAAGAACAAAACATGACTTTCTGGAACCCCTCCCCCAACAAAAAATTAACTGTCTGTGCCTTTAACACAGGGGCAGAATTCTTTCAAATACCAAGTAAGAATGTGACTAAGTTGGTAACTCTAATTCAGCACAGTTTTCCATTTATAGGTTACTTACCAACACTATTTTGGGGAATTAGATTCTTGGATTGTAAAATAGCAGAACACAATCTCGGTCTATATCCTTATTCAAATATACAAATTTTGAGACAGGAAAGTGATTCATTTGTAATATTATTCTTTCAAATTGAAATAATTATGTATTGTATTGTATTATTTCAACTGTTTGAAAAACTACAGAACATTTTTTGTATAATTTAATTTTTTTCAACTTTGGGAAATAAGGGGAAGCAACTCATATAACATTACTTTAACTACTAAACATTTTTATAAATTACACCACTTTCCGCAAAACATATTTTTGTATAGTTTTAGTATGTTATTCATAGATAGTAACAGACTTGTTTTTCAGAGAAAAACTTTGTGTTGCAATTAGTTGCAGGTTGTTCACTAAATTGACTAGACTATTAAAACCTATACCTCTTTTGTCAGTTTTTATACGACCGCAAAAAAATTTTTGTGGTCGTATATTGGTATGACGTTGGCGTCGTCGTCGTCCGGCGTCGTCGTCGTCGTCGTCGTCGTCGTCGTCGTCGTCGTCGTCCGGCGTCGTCCGGCGTCGTCCGAAGACACATTGGTTTTCGCACCCTAACTTTAGTTTAAGTGAATGGATCTTTATGAAATGTTACCACAAGGTTCAATACCACAAAAGGAAGGTTGGGATTGATTTTGGGGGTTATGGTAATAACAGTAAAGGAATTAGGGGCCAAAAAGGGGCCAAAAATAAGCATTTTTGTAACTTCCAGACATAACTTGTGTGTTAGTGTATGGATCTCTCTGACATTGTACCACAAGGTTCCATATCACTAAAGGAATGCTGGGATTGATTTTGGGGGTAATTGCCTCCAAATTTTAGGAATTAGGGGCCAAAAAAGGGGCAAAAAACAAGCATTTTTCTAGTTTCATGACAATAACTTGTGTGTAAGTGTATGGATCTTTCTGAAATTGTACTACAAGGTTCCATATCACAAAGGGAAAGCTGGGTTTGAGTTTGGGGGTAATTGCCCTAAACGTTTAGGAATTTGGGGCCAAAAAGGGGCCAAAAAACACATTTTTTTCTAGTTTCCAGACAATAACTTGTGTTCAAGTGTATGGATCTCTCTGAAATTGTACTGCAAGGTACCATACCACAAAGGGAAGGCTTGGATTGAGTTTGGGGGTGATGAATCATAATGGGGGTTCAAAAAATTTTGGGGGGGGATTTATTTTTTTTTCCTTTTTTTTCTTTTTTTCCTTTTTTGTTTCTTTTAAAATTTTCCATTTTAAGTTGGTTATTTCTGATTTATATTTAAAATCAAATAATAATGATATGGTAGGAGATACACACCAAACAGGATGTGTAAATTATTATATAATAAGTATTGTGCAATAGCAAGAAATTTTCAATTGCACAGTATTGCGCAATAGCAAGAAATCTTCAATTGCACAGTATTGCGCAATAGCAAGAAATCTTCAATTGCACAGTATTGCGCAATAGCAAGAAATATCCAATAGCACAATATTGCGCAATAGCAAGAAATTGTCAATTGTACAGTATTGCGCAATAGCAAGAAATATTTAATAGCACAGGATTGTGCAAAAGAAGATACTTCCTATAAATTGCTTATTTCTTGACCAATTTCAATGGGGTTTTATTCTTGATTTCATTGGGTTCTTTAATATGCTGAATCTAACCGTGTATTTAGTTTTTGGATTTTGAGCCCCGTTTTTAAATTGGTCCACATTGAGGTCCAAAGGGTCCAAAATTAAACTTTGTTTGATTTCATCAAAAATTGAATTATTGGGGTTCTTTGATATGCCAAATCTAACTGTGTATTTAGATTCTTAAATTTTGGTTCCGTTTTCAAATTGGTCTACATTAAGGTCCAAAGGGTCCAAAATTAAACTTAGTTTGATTTTAACAAAAATTGAATTCTTAGGGTTCTTTGATATGCTGAATCTAAACATGTATTTAGATTTTTGATTATGGGCCCAGTTTTCAAGTTGGTCCAAATCAGGGTCCAAAATTAAACTTTGTTTGATTTCAACAAAAATTGAATATATGGGGTTCTTTGATATGCTGAATCTAACCATGTATTTAGATTTTTGATTTTTGGGCCCCGTTATCAACTTTGTCCACATTGAGGTCAAAAGGGTCCAAAATTAAACTTTGTTTGATTTCATCAAAAATTAAATTATTGGGGTTCTTTGATATGCCGAATCTAACCGTGTATTTAGATTCTTAATTTTTGGTTCCGTTTTCAAATTGGTCTACATTAAGATCCAAAGGGTCCAAAATTAAACTTAGTTTGATTTTAACAAAAATTGAATTCTTAGGGTTCTTTGATATGCTGAATCTAAACATGTATTTAGATTTTTGATTATGGGCCCAGTTTTCAAGTTGGTCCAAATCGGGGTCCAAAATTAAACTTTGTTTGATTTCAACAAAAATTGAATATATGGGGTTCTTTGATATGCTGAATCTAACCATGTATTTAGATTTTTGATTTTTGGGCCCCGTTATCAACTTTGTCCACATTGAGGTCAAAAGGGTCCAAAATTAAACTTTGTTTGATTTCATCAAAAATTGAATTCTTGGGGTTCTTTGATATGCTGAATCTAACCATGTATTTAGATTTTGGATATTGGACCATAATAGGTGAATGTCCAATTTAAAATTTTTAAGTTCTTAGACCACATTCAATCTGTGTTAGAAACCTATGCTGTGTCAAATATTTAATCACAATCCAAATCCAAAGCTGTATCAAGCTTGAATGTTGTGTCCATACTTCCCCCAACTGTTCAGGGTTCGACCTCTGCGGTCGTATCAAGCTGCGCCCTGCGGAGCATTTTATTTAATGTTGAAAATCTTTATAAGACCTCTGATGATGCAAAATTGTACAAAATTTAACAATTTCAAGCATGAAAATGTTAATCTTTATGTTTAATGTATACCAAAGACTTGATTAAAAAACTTGGTAATGGGGAATCAATTTCTTACAGCTGAATCAACTATACATTTAATATATGTCAAAATGTAACATGAAATCTTGATAAAAATAATAATTTGATATATTCGCAAGAAAAAATACAAAACATTCAATACTTAGGCTACTACATACTCCGCAATCCTTCAGAAGCAAGGGTTAAGCAAATAGAGTACAATTATAAGCCTTGTGTCAAAATGTCTAATTTTGGTTGCTAAGGACTGTAAACAATAAAATTGACATGTATTGTCATTCTTAAACACCTAATCCCTTCATAAGTTGATTTAGAATCTAAATATCAATAGATTTGAGGTATGAAAAGTCTTAAATTATACAATTCTGAGCTTGGTAAGTATGCCTAAATAGTAAATATTTTTTTCAAATTCTCCCTTTTAACTAATTTTCTGTGTTCTGCTAACTAAAACGAGTAAAATGGCCTTTTAATTTTTCAAAATTGGTTGAGCAATGAATATTTTATGAAGGTTAGCAGTTGACACTGAAATGCGACAAAAACTGATTTAAAGAAAGGTGCCAAGTCAAAGTGTAGAATCTTGTTTCTACCTCAATTTTTGGCAAAATCTTAAAAACTATACCTCTTTTGTCAGTTTTTTAATGTTGAAAATCTTTATAAGACCTCTGATGATGCAAAATTGTACAAAATTTAACAATTTCAAGCATGAAAATGTTAATCTTTATGTTTAATGTATACCAAAGACTTGATTAAAAAACTTGGTAATGGGGAATCAATTTCTTACAGCTGAATCAACTATACATTTAATATATGTCAAAATGTAACATGAAATCTTGATAAAAATAATAATTTGATATATTCGCAAGAAAAAATACAAAACATTCAATACCTAGGCTACTACATACTCCGCAATCTTTCAGAAGCAAGGGTTAAGCAAATAGAGTACAATTATAAGCCTTGTGTCAAAATGTCTAATTTTGGTTGCTAAGGACTGTAAACAATAAAATTGACATGTATTGTCATTCTTAAACACTTAATCCCTTCAGAAGTTGATTTAGAATCTAAATATCAATAGATCTGAGGTATGAAAAGTCTTAAATTATACAATTCTGAGCTTGGTAAGTATGCCTTAATAGTAAATCTTTTTCTTTAAATTCTCCCTTTTAACTATTTTTCTGTGTTCTGCTAGCTAAAACGAGTAAAATGGCCTTTTAATTTTTCAAAATTGGTTGAGTAATGAATATTTTATGAAGGTTAGCAGTTGACACTGAAATGCGACAAAAACTGATTTAAAGAAAGGTGCCAAGTCAAAGTGTAAAATCTTGTTTCTACCTCAATTTTTGGCAAAATCTTAAACTATACCTCTTTTGTCAGTTTTTTAATGTTGAAAATCTTTATAAGACCTCTGATGATGCAAAATTGTACAAAATTTAACAATTTCAAGCATGAAAATGTTAATCTTTATGTTTAATGTATACCAAAGACTTGATTAAAAAACTTGGTAATGGGGAATCAATTTCTTACAGCTGAATCAACTATACATTTAATATATGTCAAAATGTAACATGAAATCTTGATAAAAATAATAATTTGATATATTCGCAAGAAAAAATACAAAACATTCAATACCTAGGCTACTACATACTCCGCAATCTTTCAGAAGCAAGGGTTAAGCAAATAGAGTACAATTATAAGCCTTGTGTCAAAATGTCTAATTTTGGTTGCTAAGGACTGTAAACAATAAAATTGACATGTATTGTCATTCTTAAACACCTAATACCTTCATAAGTTGATTTAGAATCTAAATATCAATAGATTTGAGGTATGAAAAGTCTTAAATTATACAATTCTGAGCTTGGTAAGTATGCCTTAATAGTAAATATTTTTCACAAATTCTCCCTTTTAACTAATTTTCTGTGTTCTGCTAGCTAAAACGAGTAAAATGGCCTTTTAATTTTTCAAAATTGGTTGAGCAATGAATATTTTATGAAGGTTAGAAGTTGACACTGAAATGCGACAAAAACTGATTTAAAGAAAGGTGCCAAGTCAAAGTGTAAAATCTTGTTTCTACCTCAATTTTTGGCAAAATCTTAAACTATACCACCCCCAAGGGTGACTGGGGAATAGAAGTATGGTCACCATTGGTCTTCCTCCGACCGGCAGTAAAACCCGTGCTAAAGTGGGGCGTCCGTTAGGCTGTGCGGGATGTACAAATTTGCAGCCACGTCCGGTCAGAATGGGGACGTTAAATCCGATGCCTCGTGTAAAGAGAGTGCCACGCTCTTTGCACGTTAAGAACCCTTGCAACAACTCTTTGAGGGGTCCGTAGGTGACCTGTTGCAAGGCTAAATTTCTGTCCCTATCCAATATACCCTCATTTCCCGTGGCAGTCTAAATTTCTCCGACCTTAATCCCTTAATCTATTACAGAACCTACCTATTGTATTTATTGTGAACTTGTTCTCGTCCTGAATATGCATGAAATATTTGCCACTGGACGTTAAGCAACCAACAATCAATCAATCAATTAAACTATACCTCTTTTGTCAGTTTTTTAATGTTGAAAATCTTTATAAGACCTCTGATGATGCAAAATTGTACAAAATTTCACAATTTCAAGCATGAAAATGTTAATCTTTATGTTTAATGTATACCAAAGACTTGATTAAAAAACTTGGTAATGGGGAATCAATTTCTTACAGCTGAATCAACTATACATTTAATATATGTCAAAATGTAACATGAAATCTTGATAAAAATAATAATTTGATATATTTGCAAGAAAAAATACAAAACATTCAATACTTAGGCTACTACATACTCCGCAATCCTTCAGAAGCAAGGGTTAAGCAAATAGAGTACAATTATAAGCCTTGTGTCAAAATGTCTAATTTTGGTTGCTAAGGACTGTAAACAATAAAATTGACATGTATTGTCATTCTTAAACACCTAATCCCTTCATAAGTTGATTTAGAATCTAAATATCAATAGATTTGAGGTATGAAAAGTCTTAAATTATACAATTCTGAGCTTGGTAAGTATGCCTTAATAGTAAATATTTTTTTCAAATTCTCCCTTTTAACTAATTTTCTGTGTTCTGCTAGCTAAAACGAGTAAAATGGCCTTTTAATTTTTCAAAATTGGTTGAGCAATGAATATTTTATGAAGGTTAGCAGTTGACACTGAAATGCGACAAAAACTGATTTAAAGAAAGGTGCCAAGTCAAAATGTAAAATCTTGTTTCTACCTCAATTTTTGGCAAAATCTTAAACTATACCTCTTTTGTCAGTTTTTTAATGTTGAAAATCTTTATAAGACCTCTGATGATGCAAAATTGTACAAAATTTAACAATTTCAAGCATGAAAATGTTAATCTTTATGTTTAATGTATACCAAAGACTTGATTAAAAAACTTGGTAATGGGGAATCAATTTCTTACAGCTGAATCAACTATACATTTAATATATGTCAAAATGTAACATGAAATCTTGATAAAAATAATAATTTGATATATTCGCAAGAAAAAATACAAAACAATTAATACGGAGGCTACTACATACTCCGCAATCCTTCAGAAGCAAGGGTTAAGCAAATAGAGTACAATTATAAGCCTTGTGTCAAAATGTCTAATTTTGGTTGCTAAGGACTGTAAACAATAAAATTGACATGTATTGTCATTCTTAAACACCTAATCCCTTCATAAGTTGATTTAGAATCTAAATATCAATAGATTTGAGGTATGAAAAGTCTTAAATTATACAATTCTGAGCTTGGTAAGTATGCCTTAATAGTAAATATTTTTCACAAATTCTCCCTTTTAACTAATTTTCTGTGTTCTGCTAGCTAAAACGAGTAAAATGGCCTTTTAATTTTTCAAAATTGGTTGAGCAATGAATATTTTATGAAGGTTAGCAGTTGACACTGAAATGCGACAAAAACTGATTTAAAGAAAGGTGCCAAGTCAAAGTGTAAAATCTTGTTTCTACCTCAATTTTTGGCAAAATCTTAAAAACTATACCTCTTTTGTCAGTTTTTTAATGTTGAAAATCTTTATAAGACCTCTGATGATGCAAAATTGTACAAAATTTAACAATTTCAAGCATGAAAATGTTAATCTTTATGTTTAATGTATACCAAAGACTTGATTAAAAAACTTGGTAATGGGGAATCAATTTCTTACAGCTGAATCAACTATACATTTAATATATGTCAAAATGTAACATGAAATCTTGATAAAAATAATAATTTGATATATTCGCAAGAAAAAATACAAAACAATTAATACGGAGGCTACTACATACTCCGCAATCCTTCAGAAGCAAGGGTTAAGCAAATAGAGTACAATTATAAGCCTTGTGTCAAAATTTCTAATTTTGGTTGCTAAGGACTGTAAACAATAAAATTGACATGTATTGTCATTCTTAAACACTTAATCCCTTCAGAAGTTGATTTAGAATCTAAATATCAATAGATCTGAGGTATGAAAAGTCTTAAATTATACAATTCTGAGCTTGGTAAGTATGCCATAAGGTAGCAATAAACAGTTAGGAAAAAATATTTAAATTTTCCCTCATAAATTTTACCATCCCCTTTTCATTGCCTTCTTGCAATATTAAGCTTACTGTTTGTGTCATATATGTGCATATGTATGTAATCAGAATATTCCATAGATTTCATATCCAGTATATAAAATAGTAAAATATAATTTCTTTTTGGTGTATCCATGGCAACAATCTGCATTTTTTTGTTATAAAATAAAGCAAAAAGGGGGGAAAAGATGTGACATATTTCCCCAAAATTTGACCAAAAGAAGAATTTCAATCACTTCAAGTAATACCTTTTCTGAAACTGTTTACATATATCTTTCAATAAATCCAATGAAAATCATATGTCTCTCGTCTCATTTTTTTGTAAAATTGCGTCAAAAACTTCATGTAGAAAAAAAGTGTTTGTAAACATTACATTAATTTCTGGACCGATGACCGGTCTAGCTATGAAAATACGTAGAGTCAAACAGGAAATAGCCCATAAAACATGTAAAAAATAATTCTGATGTTCTTATAAACCACCTTTGAAGGCTAAATTAGTACTCAGCTGTCTAAAAATGAATTTTATTACACAATAACTTTCATATATGAAAAATCCACCGGGGGCCAAAATGCGAAACCATACTCCTAACTGTGTATTGCTACCTTAATAGTAAATCTTTTTTTTTAAATTCTCCCTTTTAACTATTTTTCTGTGTTCTGCTAGCTAAAACGAGTAAAATGGCCTTTTAATTTTTCAAAATTGGTTGAGTAATGAATATTTTATGAAGGTTAGCAGTTGACACTGAAATGCGACAAAAACTGATTTAAAGAAAGGTGCCAAGTCAAAGTGTAAAATCTTGTTTCTACCTCAATTTTTGGCAAAATCTTAAACTATACCTCTTTTGTCAGTTTTTTAATGTTGAAAATCTTTATAAGACCTCTGATGATGCAAAATTGTACAACATTTAACAATTTCAAGCATGAAAATGTTAATCTTTATGTTTAATGTATACCAAAGACTTGATTAAAAAACTTGGTAATGGGGAATCAATTTCTTACAGCTGAATCAACTATACATTTAATATATGTCAAAATGTAACATGAAATCTTGATAAAAATAATAATTTGATATATTCGCAAGAAAAAATATACAAAACATTCAATACTTAGGCTACTACATACTCCGCAATCCTTCAGAAGCAAGGGTTAAGCAAATAGAGTACAATTATAAGCCTTGTGTCAAAATGTCTAATTTTGGTTGCTAAGGACTGTAAACAATAAAATTGACATGTATTGTCATTCTTAAACACCTTATCCCTTCATAAGTTGATTTAGAATCTAAATATCAATAGAATGAACAATAATTTAGCTTCCGAATATTCCTCCATAGACTATATTTCTAACTAATAAATATGCGTGAACCCTCAGGGGTTCACGCAAAAATGGTGTAGGATGGAACACGAACCTGCAGATAAGATAATCTCACATAAACTGTTTACTAAACAAAATATACAGCGAGTGTTAATCTAGATACTCAATTAGACAAATAGATCAAGAAATAAATTTTGACTGCCACACAAAGTACAATCATATGGAGAGTTAGGAATTAAGGGACGGAAATTTAGCCTTTCGCCAACTCATTTTGTAATGTAAACAAGAGGCTCTCAAGAGCCTGAATCGCTCATCTGTTATTTTTTTTGCTTACATCTTTCATCAATGATTATTTTTGCTTTTTACCCATATGTTCCATTTTAGCCATAGTGTCTATGTTTCTGGACGTACAAGGAAATGAAATACAAAATTTATACTAGATTCATTTGAGAAGATTTTTAAAAGTTAAAAAACATAAAACAACTTGTGTAAAATTGTCCTTAAAGGGCAATAACTCCTTAAGGGGTCAATTGACAATTTTGGTCATATTAACTTTTTTGTAGATCTTACTTTGCTGAACATTATTGCTGTTTACAGTTTATATCTATCTATAATAATATTCAAGATAATAACAAAAAACTGCAAAATTTCCTTAAAACTACCAATTTAGTGGCAGCAACCCAACAATGAGTTGTTCGATTCTTCTGAAAATTTCAGGGCTGATAGATCTTGACCAAATGAACAATTTTACCTCATGTCAGATTTGCTCTAAAGGCTTTAGTTTTTGAGATATAAGCAAAAAAATACATTTGACCCCTATGTTCTATTTTTAGCCATGGCGGCCATGTTTGTCGATGGATCAAAACTTCGGATACAATTTATAAACTAGATACCCTAAGGAACATTTAGTTAAAGTTTGAAGGTATTTGGCCCAGTAGTTTCAGAGGAGAAGATTTTTTAAATAGTTTACGACGACAGACGACGACGACGACAGACGACGGACGACGACGGACGCCAAGTGATGGCATAAGCTCACATGGGGCCCTTTGGGCCCCGGTGAGCTAAAAAGGGGTCTTTGGTAAAAAAAAAAGTATATGTGTTTACTGTACCCTATCTACCCTAATTTTTATTCCCTTACCTATCCTAATTTTTTTTTTTTTACAGTTTTTGATTAATCACTGTTAAAGTCACAATTTTGCTCCCATAGACTCAATGTAAAAAATGTTTTTCAAATAGATTTGCTTGTGAAATAATATTGTTTTCCTGATCTCCGCAAATAACACGAGAATTTAAAGGAAATTTGATTTATTAAATTATAGTTTATACACAATACAGTGCACCTGTCATCAACGATCTCAGCAGGCAGTTATCTTAGTCTATTGTTAGGCAATTACATAACATTTATTTTTGGCGTATTAGGAATAGTGCCCAAGAGGGGGGTTAGAGTATTGTTGATGAAATTGAGAGAACGCATCGATGTATCGGATGCAATTACAATCAGCTATCCCACCCGCCATCCCCAACTACACCTGTGCATTAACTGGGTATTTAGCCTACATGTTATGATATGGATATTTTAAATATAAGTTAAGTATTTGAAAGTGTTATTTTTAGTTACAGTAAGGTCCATATTATGGAATTCTGACGGCAAGTTCTTGGTATTTCTGTTAAAAATAATTCATACAGATGTTTAGTTTGTTTTGTTTTTTATTCAAGCTGATAAAGTGTTTTTCATGCAATACACTCAAGCGAAGTAAAAAAATATATCTATAAAAAAAATTGATGTTATAGAAAGAGTGATTTGAAATTGCTATATTACATTGTTATATTTTCTATTATATATCTAGTTTGTTAGTTTAAATATATAAATATTTGTCTACCTCTTGTTTAAGGGGCTACTCATATGGAAATTGATATGTGCCCTTTTTCTTTTTAATTCCAGGGGAATCATACTCCCCCAATTCAATAATACATCAGATAGGTTAATTCCTGTCGAGGAACAAATAGGTATTTTTAAGCAGTATTTTTACTACGCTTGGATTGCCCAGGAGCAATTAGGTTCATTCCTGGGGATCGCCCCAGGAATTAGGTTCATTCCAGTCGAGGAACAAATAGGTTCATTCCTGAAGAGGAACAAATAGGTTCATTCCTGGGGATCGCCCCAGGAACTAGGTTCATTCCTGCCAAGGAACAAATAGGTTAATTCCTGGGGATCGCCCCAGGAAATAGGTTCATTCCTGCCGAGGAACAAATAGGTTCATTCCTGGGGATCGCCCCATGAACATTTTTTACTAATCGTTTAAGGAATTTTTATTTTTCTCATATTTTGATAAGTCTTAAATTTATTTTCATAAGTTTTAAAATTATAAAGCCAAATTCTTTTAAGTGAATGAGTAGCCCCAAGAAAGCCAATAATGTATTATATTGTTAGTCATCCAATGTAGAAAGATATGTACTGTTATGTTACAGTTTATTTTAATATTATGTGTAGATTTAGTATGTTTTGATATTTTAATAATAAAGCATCATTCTTAAATTGTGTTGCGTTTAAATTTAATTATGCTTTTTAATGGCTTACAGTCGCATCATTGAATTTGCTATTATTTCTTATACATTTATAATGCCTCTCAGGTACCGTTGATAGTTTTATATATTTTTCCTTGTAAATGTATTAATTTCAATATCAGAAAAAAAAAAATAGACGACAAGAAAAGCGTTTAGGATTTAAACACCGAAAGCATTGATAATTATATATTGACAGATGGACGAAAAACTTACAGAAATATATAAAAAAGGACCGTTCATGCAAGTATAGGGCTTTCATCAGTGTAAACTTTATGCGACCTTTTGGATATTTTCCTTTAAACAAATTTACTTATCTCCTTATGTGGTAATTACTTACATGTTAAAGTTTTTCACGAATAAATCAACACGTTTAATATATATTGTATGGTTATTTCAGAAGGGGACTCAATTAGACTATATTGATGTTGAATCGCCCCGAGTATTACTTTAAAAGATGTAAATAAACATTTTTGGATAATTTTATGTTTTATATTATATTTTTTATAGATTTGAGAATGATTCGTCACTGTTGAAAATTTGCGAGATAAAAGAAAAAAACAGTTTTTATAATCATGCTGAATACTGATGTAATTTTGTGTGCGTTGTTATACGGAATGATTAATTATTGTGACTGTCAGCTATGGAACGGTGCTAGTTACTGGAATAACAGATACTCAGCGTACGGAATAAATTATGATAGTAAGTCAATTCTACATTATTGAAAGCATATATATTTAAATAATCCCGGTGACGATAGAACAGCAGATTTAAAATTGTTGTCCTGGTGTTTAGAGTATATATAAAAAATATATCATTCGTCTAACAACCCAACAATGTTAGATCAGCAAATTTGTGTTCTTCGTTTATGCGCCTTTGAAATTCACCCTGCGTAACCGAATACTTTTCTTTGTAGGAGTTATCTCCCCGAACACTGTTTTCCTTGTGACTGCATCTCCTCTGTAACCGTAAAAGAAAGCAACAAATTTATTTTATAAAATTGCTCGTTATATCCTTCGCATGATTTGTCCTATTTCGACCGAAGCGATATGAACACTCCATATGAGAGTTATTTCCCCTTATGCATTAGTTATTAGTGATATGTATTTCTATCTTGTAAACCATAAGTGATAGATACCTAGGATCTTTTGATTTGAGGTCCTTGATCCAAAAAAAAGAAAATAAGGTCAAGGTCAGAGGTCAAGGTCATATTTTAAATTTTGATTTTGGCTTATTTTCACTTCTTTTCAAAAACCGTATAAGATATCGACAACATATTTTTACTAAATTGTAAGTTGCGACATGTCGTAACACATAAATTTTGGTTGAAATGGTACGCTAACATTAAATTGGAGTTTTCTCCCCTCTTATGTTAAAAATTAGGCGTAAAGTGATATAACTCATTAACCATATATTTTTAAGACCTATGATCTTTTGATTTGAAGCCCTCAATTTATGACCTTGAATTGAGCTAAAGGTCATAGGTTAATTTGGCGTTCTAGATTTTGACCTTTGCT